TCTATATGATCTATACTAGTCTATAAGATCTATACTAGTCTATATGATCTATACTAGCCAATAGATCTATACTAGTCTCCCTTTATTTCTTGATCGGTAAATAAAAATTCAACACAAAATAGTTTGTCACGAAAGCAACTGCCTGTGAAAGCTCCTGGATTGGGATTGAAAGGCAAAAGCAAAAGCCGTATGCTCCACCCCATATTTGGGTGGAACAGTTTGCCCTGATACGCCGGTCTACCTGAATATCGGTTCTCTGGTCTCACTGAAAGAAAACACTTAATCTGTCCCCTGGTGTACCCAACAAAGCGAGGAGAGCCCATGGCTTAGAGGTTAATGCATCTACCTAATATGCAAGTAGCCTGAGTTCGAATCCCAGAAGGCTAGGCTGGCTGATGAGAGCTAAATAGCTTGAAATAGATCTAGACTAGTCCTCCTTTATTTCCTGGCCAGTAAAATATAAATTCCCCAGAGGATATTTCCCTGGTGCTGCTGCCTGTCTGGATAGAACTAGCAGTAGGTGGATGAAAATGCAGGCTGCGATCCAAGTAGGAGCTAATCTGCCTTTGGAAGCCCAACCCAGCCTAGAGCAACCACAGATACCGGTTGGCCCTCAAAAGCCCTCCTAATCAGAAACATTACAGATAGTTCTCACCTTGCAACCATCCTTTTAGAGACTGTTTGTGAAGTTACAACAGCGCTGGGAAAAGCGACTTGTGGATGTTTTTCACACATTAGGACCATGGCAGCATTCCCATGGTCACATGATCAGAATTCAGACGCTAGGCAACTGGCTCATCTTTGGGACAATTGCAGTGTCCTGGGATCATGTAATCACCTTTTTGCTCTGAGGGCAAACAGGTAAGAGCCCTGGTGGTGTAGTGGTTAGAATGCAGAATTGCAGGATAACTCTGCAGCAGTTCGATTCTGAGCGGCTGCAAGTTGACTCAGCCTTCCGTCCTTCCGAGGTGGGTAAAACGAGGAGCCAGATTGTTGGGCGCAAATAGGCTGACTCTGTAAACCGCTTAGAGAGGGCTGTGAAGCACTGTGAAGCGGTATATAAGTCTAAGTGCTATGGATAGTGCAATTTTGTGACCTTCTGACAAACCAAGTCAATGGGGACCCAGATTCATTTAACAACCATGTGTGAAGTTCCCAGAAGATGACCTAATTAATTTAAGAGCCTTAATATTACCCATTCATTTGAAATCCATTCGTTTATTAGGATCAACATTCTGGCATGTTCTTCTGCGGAGCCAAAACTGATTTCCACTTAATTGCGTTTGGACTTTATCTCTCTATCCCCTCCCTTGTGCCTGTGTCATAAACCATATCCACCAACTAGGATGTAGAAGTATGAGATCTGACTCTGGCCGAAGGTATGCATGGAATCCCCCCTCCAATGCCAACCTGATAATAGTCATGGCAACACTTTACAAGTTGACACCATGTTACAAACTTAAAAACTGCAGAATTCACTTAACTGTGGCGAGCAAGGTTGTAAAATGGGGCAAAGCTCACTTAACAACTGTCTCGTTTAGCAAAAGAAATCTTGGGCTCAATTGTGGTCGTAAGTCGAGGACTACCTGTAGACCTCTCTGTGTTCAGTGCTGGGGAGTCAAACCATGTAAAAGCACCAACTTTTCCAAGCCATTGGGAGAGTTTTCTGGGGAAGACCCCTCGGATGGGAAAAGGGTCTGTTTGATTTCACTGGGTTGAAAGGGACCTCAGAGATCTTCTAGTCCAGTATAGGTAGTCCTCAACTTACCCCTCCCTCCCTCCCCCCCTCTCTACATATATACACACATATATACATATATATATAGAGTGTGTATGTATGTGTGTTACATTTTTGCTGATAAAGGAAGTTTGTCGTGAAAGCGACTGCCTGGAATACTCCTGGAGCGGAGTGAAAAGTGAAAGGGAAGCAGTCATGCTCCCTCCCATATTTGAGTAGACCAGGTGCTCTGACAGAAGCAAAAAACACCACACACACACACCTTTTTCATCAATTGCATTCATCTGCAAAGGGACATCTTCTGAATTTTGGCTGCCATAGATGAATATAGCTCTCCTCCAATAGTGGCTTGAGACTTAACGCCCCATTTCTTCCCACGGCACTCAGGGCCATACAAGGGCTGAACCAGCCATCCTCCAGGCCTGGTGTTTGCCATGTGTATTTGAATGACACAGGTGCTGGCGAATGCTCGGCCAGCTGTTGGCAAGGTGCTAAGACCCTGGTATGAATGAGAAAGCCAGACCCAGCCATATGCACAAAGGGTAGCATTATAAATAGACACCCAGGAATGTGCTTTCCGGAGGGGATTAGCCTTTAAGTCTGGTGTTCAGCTCCACTTCCTCTTCTGCAGATCTGCTTACAATTGTTTGGATACCTAAATACTTAGATACCGAAAACTTAAAAGAAGCCCAGCCAGTTTCTAGGCCTCCTGATGTGGCCAGACGTTGACATGTGGGAGTAGTGCAAGTCTCCCCTTCATTCTGGGGTCTCCCTGAGGCTTGATATTCCCTCAAAACAGAGGGTTTCTGTCACAAAATATCAAGGGCTTTTTTGTCATTTCCAACTATTGTCTCAATTGCAGGATTCTCTTGACCAGATTTGACTTTAAATTGGTCATATTCATCTCATCTCACAGGATTGTTGTTGGGATAAAATAAGAGGGGAGCCCACACGTTTTGGTCACCATAATTTTGGTCACTATACTACAAAAAGGATATGGTGACTTTGGAAAAAGGTCAGAGAAGAGCAACTAAGATGATCGAGGCTGACCGTTATTTTCTGTTTCCAGGTGGAAGAGTTGGCTCTTCGGTCCATGATCAACGCCCGGGAAGAGACGGTATTCACTCCCTCGGCTGATGTCACGGAGGAGCATGTAAACGTAAGGCTCTTTTACACCGCTGATGTAGCTCCTCCCGTTTAGAGGCCACCAAGACTGAGTCCCCTTCACCACAAGAGAGAAAAGGATCCTTTGCAGCTCTAGGGCTAATCATTTACAGTTACTGGTTGCAACTGGTCTCTCATTTATCACAATGCCAACTGAGCAGAGATTCTCTCCGCTGTTTCTGTCTATGCAAGTGAACCATATTTCCAAGCAAAGAAACTCGTTTTCTTTTTAAAACACTCGAGATCTCCCAAGGATGCTTTTTTCTAAAGAAAGTTGGATTTGTGACTTTCCTTGAAGATATTTCACTTCTGATCCAACTTGATTTTCTTCCTGAGAGTCCTTGAGACCACATGGAGGGTTATCTGGGTCCTCAGGGTCACCTGAATAGTGCAAATGGGTGTGCAAGAGGGATGAAATTCAGCAGGTTCTGGAGAACCGGTAGCAGAAATTTTAAGTAGTTCAGAGAACCAGTAAATACCACCTCTGGCTGACCCCAGAGTGGGGTGGGAATGGGGATTTTGCAGTCTCCTTCCCCTGGAGTAGGGAGGGAATGGGGATTTTGCAGTATCCTTACCCTGGAGTAGGGAGGGAATGGGGATTTTGCAGTATCCTTCCCCTGGAGTGTGGAGGGAATGGGGATTTTGCAGTATCCTTCCCCTGGAGTAGGGAGGGAATGGGGATTTTGCAGTATCCTTACCCTGGAGTAGGGAGGGAATGGGGATTTTGCAGTATCCTTCCCCTGGAGTAGGGAGGGGATGGGGATTTTGCAGTATCCTTCCCCTGGAGTAGGGAGGGAATGGGGATTTTGCAGTATCCTTACCCTGGAGTAGGGAGGGAATGGGGATTTTGCAGTATCCTTACCCTGGAGAGGGGTGG